CTGTAAGAAAAATAGTACATTACATGATTTATAATGTAGAAATTCATAAATAAAATAAAAGATTTGGTTATCAATGTAAAACTTAATAAAATGCGTACAAATTTTGGAAATAATACTTCAATTTATCGAAAAATTTATTTTTTTAGGTTTCTATAATAAATTTAGTAAAAGAGATTGTTAGTAGAAAGATGGAGATTTCAAATAGAATAAACTTTTTATTTTTATTTTTTTTATACCTTTCATATTATTTACAAAAATAATTATACCACTATATACAACAAAAATTAATGGTTATATAAAAAATTAATTTTTTTATTTTTCATTTTTTTATGTCTTTTATATTATTTACAAAAATATTTATTTTTATACCAACCACTATATACACAACAAAAATATTTATATTTATACCAACCACTATATATAAAACAAAAATGCAACACATGCCCAAGGGATTCGAAAACAACAAAAATATTTATACCAACCACTATATACACAACAAAAATGCAACACATGCCCAAAGGGGTTCAACCTTGGGACCTTAAGTAAAAAATTCAAAATCATAACCATCAAACCATCTAACTACATGTGATTACAAACTGCTGATTAATAGAGTATATTTACATTTCGTTTTCATTTAATGATGTTTGGGAATTATAATACATCGAAAGATGGGTATTCAAATTTGGTATATAAATACTTATGCAATATGAATTATAAAATGTGTATAAAAATATTAGGGCAACCTTGCATGTGCGTGTGGACACACGTGTGAGCGTGTGAGTGTGCGTGGGGCACGCTTGCACGTGCGCTCGAACACACGTGTGTGCGTATGAGTGTGCATGGGGCACGTTCGCACATGCGCTCGAACACACGTGTGCACGTGTGAGTGTGCATAGGGCACGCTCGCACGTGCGCTCGGACACCCGTGTGTGCTTGTGTGGGGCACGCTCGCACGTGCGCTCGGATACCCGTATGCACGTGTGAGTGTGTGTGGGGCATGCTCGCACGTGCGTGTCATGTGTGAACCGGGCTAAACCGTATGGGAACCGACGGTTCCACTCTAGAATCGGGCTGAACCGGATGGGAACCGACGGTTCCACTCTAGAACCGGGGGGTTCCCGATTTTAGGTTGGAACCGGCACGGGCACGCGTGTTTTCGAGTCGAATCGGGCAAGTCCGGTTCGACTCGCCGTTTTTTAAAACACTACCTCAAACAAACTAACACTGAATTACCCAAAAAAAAAAAAACCAAAAACCCCTTAGGGCTTTTTTTACGGTCCGGATACTTTGGCCATGGTACTGAAGGCATCCTTCCATCATTTCTGATGTACGGACAGGTTTCCACTCAAGGGCCGCATTTCCCATCGGTGGTTATCGGATGGGAACCGACGGTTCTACTCTAGAACCGGGCTGAACCGAATGGAAACCGACGGTTCCACTCTAGAACCGGGCGGTTCCCGATTTTCGGTTGGAACCAGCACGGGCACGCTTGATTTCGAGTCAAACCGGACGAATTCGATTCGACTCGCCGTTTTTTAAATCGGTGCCTCAAACAAACTAACACTGAATTACCCAAAAAAAAAAAAAAAAAACCAAAACCCCTAAGGAGGTGCCTCAAACAAACTAACACTGAATTAACCCAAAAAAAAAAAAAAACCAAAACCTCTAAGGACGTTTTTTACGGCTGGATACTTTGGCCATGGTACGGAAGGGATCCTTCCATCATTTATGATGTGCGGACAGGTTTCCACTCAAGGGCCGCATTTCCACCTTGCGGGTTCTCTTCTCGGGTGAAATCAAATCGGAAGGGGTGTAGTTCGTATAAGGCTGCAACCTCAAACAATTGAAGCGAGACGTACCTTCAAATTATATCATATGATGTAATTTTGATTTCAAAAGTTCTTAGGAAGATATGAGAATCTATTTTTATATCTAATTATAAAATTTTAAATTTAAAAAATGGTTCAAATCAAGTAGATCTACAAATACATGAAAATAATATGTCCAAACAATGTGTTGCAAGATGCATTATTTTGAAATTCAAAATATTTCTTTTAAATCCATAACATCTCAATGTTTAAAGGGTTTTCTAACATCAAATAACCTTTTCAGATGGATTTTTTATGTTCACATTGCAACCTTATATAAACATGGAACTGAGATGTTCAACTCCTACTTTGCAAAACTCCATGAAATCAAACACCCCAATGTGCACAACGCAATATAGGAACCTCATTTTCTTTGGAAATGCGGATCACGAGACATACAATAATCCAAGAAGCAAACGCAGGTAATGTAAGAAGCAAACGCAGATAAGCAAGCAAATGTACAAGGAAGAAAGAAACCCAAGTTTAGCAGAGCTTCAAATAAAAATCCCAAAAAAACAGTTAAAAATGGGTGAAATGGACAAACACAATGCTGAATCAGACACTTCCCTGATTTGTCACCACCCCATCAATCAAACACACCATCTCTCTCTCTCTAAAACCAGGAAACAAAACGCCCATGGCTTCACCTCATAGCACAGAAAACAGAACACCCTCCAGCTCCATTTGTAAACCCAAACACCATATCCCCTTTCTCCCACACTCCAGGTAACAAATCGACCCTCTCTCTCATAACCTCCCCCACTCTCTCTCTCTAACCTTTACCACCACCATCACTCATACTGATACCCACCCACCAAAACCCTGCCCATCTCTCCACAAACATAAGCATCCAAGCAAGCATACTCTATCTGCGACCCTGTCAAGCACGTCCTCGACCAATCGCTCATCGTGATCCTCTTCGATTTGTTCAGCTCCACCCCCAAAACCTGTTTTACCAGATCCTTCAATCCACAGTTCAAAACATCTTTCTTCTGCATCTTCTCACTAGCCACTTTTCTCAGCTCCAGGTGATTTCTACACTTCATGCCATAATCATCCTCGAGTTTCTCCAAATCATTCGCAATTCCGACGCCCACAAAGCAATTATTGGCATGAGAGAGAAACTTCATCACGCCACGAGGCAGGCTGTCTAGATAGAGAAGCTGGAGTACGAGGCATTCTCTCTCTACACAAATTTGAAGCAATGCAGCCTCGTTGTCCTGGCCTCTACCGTAGTTGGGTTTCCATTCTATGTCCAAACCCACCAAAAAGCCATTATCGTTCTTCCTTTTTCCTATGACTTTCTGAACCCATTCGTCTGCAATTGAAGACTCGCTTGTGATGGTGGTCTCAACCGATTGGCCGGCAAAAGTCACAGTGAACATGGTGGGTTCATTGGATAGAAAGGGATTAGGGTTTTGTGCGTTGCCTGAATCGAGCTGGTTAGGCCATGGATTGGGGTTTTGATGGTGGTTAGTTGTATCAGGGTTTTCTGAGCTGTTGGAATCAAGGTGGTCAAACCATGGATTAGGGTTTTTTGAGCTGTTGGAATCGAGCTGGTCAAACCATGGATTAGGGTTTTGTGAGCTGTTGGAATCGAGCTGGTTAAACCATGGGTTAGGGTTTTTTGAGCTGTTGGGATCGAGCTGGTCAAACCATGGATTAGGGTTTTGTGAGTTGCTGGAGTTTGGCTGGTTAGAAGATGGACTAGGGTTTCGTGGGTAATTGTGATTAGCAGATGCATTAGGGTTTTGATAGTGCTTAGAGCGACTGGGTTTCTGTGGGTTTTTGGATTTGAGGTGATTCGAAGATGGATTAGGAATTTGATGGCGATTGGATGGAGCAGGGTTGTTGTGATGGGGTTTAGGGGGACTATTATTAGGGTTTTGTTTGGGTATGGAGTTGGGTTTAGGGTTTTTGGGGTGCCTGGTTTGGCGAGTAGGAGGTTGTTGGGTGGTAGTACGAGGCACCCACACGCCGTTCTTTTCCTTCAGAGACGACATTTCTGGTATGTTGTGCGCTCACAGTTGCAGAGAAAAGGGAAGGGAATGGAAGGGAAGAGAGAGGGTTTGGTGAGATGGAGATTTGGGAATTGGTTCAATCTCTATTTTTTTTATTTGTTATATGTAAAGTGGTGTACCCCGTGAACATCAAGAAAAGCAAGAAACTTTTACATAAGGGTGAGCCTCTAAACGATCAAAATATTATTCACTGTTTTGTTTTGATGCGCAAAAAGAGAAAAAACAATTGGATATAAGTCTTCAAAATAATGGATCTTGCAGTTTTTTTTATTTATTTATCAACTTTCAAGATTTTGAGTTTTTGAGGCACATTAATTTCCAGCATTAAAACAACATCCTTGGACGTGCACCTTATATTGATTGTTTAGGCCCTCATCTGTTTACAAACCACGCCCCTTTAATAAAGGTCTGAAAACTCAGGCATAACCTCATTAACCCTCTCTCATTGCTTTACTGTTAAGTTTACTTTTTATAATCTCTTTTTCTTTTTTAAAGAACAACAACAATTTTATTGCTACATGATGATAATGTATATATATTATGGTTTTATGCTGTTTGAGGAGCATATATCATAGCATGCATTGTGGTTCCTAGATAGACACGATTTCACACCCATTATACTAATATTTAAATTAAAATGGTTGCAGGGGTCACATCGATAAGTTGATATTTCATTTGGAATTGTCCTAATATTCACATTTCGACTTCCCGAGGAAGGAACTTGGAAGCGACTAAAGTTTCTTTACAATTCAGGATCCTCTTTAATGTAATTATTAAAAGGGTGTGGTTTCTATAAGGGTGCTGCAACCTTAAACAACCCGGCTCGCCTCCAAATTTTATCATAAATATAATTTTGGTGTCAAAAATTCATAAGCCTCTAAATGTGGTTCAAATCAATTAGATCTATAAACACTTGATAATCTTGAAAATGAACGGTCTAGATAATTTGTTGCAAGATACATTATTTTTAGAACTCAATTTTTTTTTTTTTTTTCTTCTATATTCATACATCTCAATGTTTAAATGATCAGTTAGAGGTTTTTCCAACACCAAAACAACCTTCTATATTGGATTTTTGAAATGCACCTTTAATTCTACATTTTAATGTTGCAACCTTATATAAACTTTTTTAATATTTTGATAAGGAAAAAGTTTATATAGAGCCGAGGCTCTAGACAATCAAATTAGAGCCCACCTCAAAAATTAGAGCCCACCTCAAAAATGTCACTAGAAGAGGTTGTTTTAATGCGCTCCAAAACTACATTACAAGATGCAATATTTCCAAAACTTGAAATCCATTTTTTCCTTATTTCTATGCATCTTGATGTCAAGATGATCAATTTGAGGATATTTAGGCATCAAAACCACCTCTTCTAATGAAACTTTTTAGTTGGGCTCTAATTTTATTGTTTAGAGCCTCAGCTTTATTTAAACTTTTTCAAAAAAGAAATAAGTGAATATAGAGTTGTTTGGATGTACTTGTTAAAAGTGATAATGAATTATATGTTAGATAGTGTCCAACATAAAATTATTGAAAGGATGTGGTTTCTATAAGGCTTAGGCTTTATGAAATCAAAATAAAGCCTTACATCAAATCCTTGTCCAAAAAGAACTTTCGACAAAAGAAATATCTATGATGGTTCTAAAATCAAATTCCAACACTGACAATGAAATTCAAAACTTAAAAAAAGGTACAGATCTTACGGATCTACGAACACTTATTTTTAGGGCGAAATGTGTGATCCAGATAATTTCTTACAATAACTATATTTTTGGAGCTTGAAATCCTTTTTTTTTTTTTTCACAACCACAATGTTTAAGCCAAGATGATCAATATAAATGTTTTCTAATTCTTGAATAGCAAATTTTGATGATTTATAAAATGAGGCTTTATTTATTTTGATAGGGATGTAGTCCTATCAAATATTTTTCTTTATCTAAAACTTGTATGCAATTTTTCACATAATTTTATCTTTTATTACATAAATTTTTTATTCTATTCAAAGTAATTTGCGGAAATTGTGCTTTTTTAGCCAGAAATGGCTAAGTTGGCAATCAATTGTATATAATATAAGGTACATAATAAATAGGTAACAAAATAATATTTCCAAAATATATTAATTTAAATAAGATAGTCTATTTCTGATAAAGTTAATTATCATCCAAACATACCATAAAATATAAACAAGCATGAAAAATAGAGTATACACCAAAAGATCACACATTATAGAGTGATTCACCCCAAAGAAGTTATGTCCATAAGCATGAAAAATATAAATTGATTATGCAATGGCCAAAGTTTGTGACACATTTCAACGTATTGGATTTCACATCCAATGGCCAAAACTGATTGTACCTTCCTTGTACTAAAGGTAAATGGTCTCATAGTATATAATCTCAAAAAAAGTTTATATAGAGCAAAGGCTCTAAACAATTTCACTAGATCGTTTCATAGTAAAAAGTTTATATAATCTCAAAAAATGGTAAATGGTCTCATAGCATATAACCTCAAAAATTTCACTAGAGGAGGTTGTTTTGATGCCCAAATATCCTCAAATTGATAATCTCGACATCAAGATGCATGGATGGATTTGAAGTTTTGAAAATAATGTATTTTGTAATGCATTTTTTTACCATCAATTTTCAAGGTTTTCAACTTTTCATAGATCTGTCGATCTGCACTATTTTTTAAGCTTAAAACTTTATAAATAAAGATGAAAATATATTTTAAGACTATCACAAAGATTTTCAGTGTTGAAACCACATTTCTCGACACTATTTTAAGGTAGGCTCTAATTTGATTGTTTAAAGCCTAGGCTCTATACAAACTGCACCCTCACTTATTGGAGATGGATGCTTGATATCTTGGAGTGGTAATGCGGTCTAGGCCGCAGCAATTTTCTAAGAGAAAAAGAGAGGTACTGATGGTACATAGGTGAGAGAGCCTTGCTCAACAAGTCACCATGGTTCAACTAATAAGCATTTCAAGCACGGCTCTGATTTTTGTGACATGAACCCAGTGGTTTAAAAAACAGATCTGGATTGGGTATCTTAAAAACCCATCCGGATTGATGAATTAGCGATTCGGATCGAAAATCAGCTGAATCGATTGGATTTAGCCTTAAAAAAATTCAAAAAAATTATTAAAATTTATTATAAGTGTTGTTTTTTAGGAATCTAATAAGAAATGGAGGTACTCCATTAAGAACTTTCATTTTTTTGCATCAATATGCGAATATGAGGATGTTCTTTCTCTGTATGAACTATTATTAACCATTAAATTATCACTCAAAAGGTTAAGCATAAAATTATCATAGATTAAGTATAAATCTCTAAAAATAATGTTATTTTAGTTTCTAAACGTAATTAAGAGTGATGCATTATGTACTTTCATTACTTTGTAAAAATAGGGAATACTAATATATTTTTTTGTCTGGATGTCTGTATAATTAATAATTATAATATAGTATTATAATATTCTAAAAAATAATAATTTTTCATATAAAGTGATGTTAGAATCATATCAAAGTATTAAATATTTATTAATTTTCTTTACTCATCCAAAATTATCACAACCTAACAACTATAATATTATATAATGAAATTGAAATTGGTGGTTTATATTTCATAATTATTTTATTATACAAATAAGAACAAATCTAAAATGCCTTATAATATCATCTAATTTAAAAAATTTATTTACAACTATGAGAAAAATAATACATTATATAATTTATAATGTAAATAAAGTAATAAATAAAATACAAGATTTGGTTATCAATGTATAATTAGTAATTATTAATTATAATATTATAGTAAACATGATTAAAAATTTATTAGAAAATGCTTATATTTCATATGATTAAAAATAAAAATAAAACCCCCCAGCTTTATCCAAAAAAAAAAAAAGCCTATCAACAGCATGCACAATAGTTACAAACAATTTCATATTATAAGATTAAAAAATTTAATTTCCCACATAAATTAGTATCACCTCAAAGTATCAAACATCTATTAATTCATTTTACTCATCCAAAATTATTACAACCTAAATAACTATAATAATATATATTGAAATTGAAGTTGTTGATTTATAACTTTATATTATATCAAAATTCAAAAAAAAAAAAAAAATGCATGTCGACAACATACACAATAGTTACACACACTTTCATATTAAAAGATTAAAAAATTTAATTTCTCCACATAAATTAGTGTCACATCAAAGTATCAAACATTTATTAATTCATTTTACTCATCCAAAATTATTACAACCTAAATAACTATAATAATATATATTGAAGTTGTTGGTTTATAGCTTTATATTTTATAATTATTTTACTATACAAATAAAAATATAAAATGTCTTATAATATCATCTAATTTTAAAAATCTTATTTACAATTATAAGAAAAAATAACACATTACAAAATTTATAATATAAATAAATAAATAAACAATATACAATATTTGTTTATTAGTAAATTTAAAAAAGGCATATTTGCAATGTGGGATAATTGATAAAGCAACTTGAAATAAATTCTAAAGTGGTATGAGTTAGTGTTATTTTTTTCTCTTAAAATATCTTCTAAACTAATTTTTTTTTAATATTCAATAGATTAGAATTAGTATTATTTTTTTGATTTTTTTAATATCCTATGAGCTAGTACTATTTAATTGTAGTGACTAGGGAATCCGCTAGGTTTTATCTAGAACCGGGCGAATCGAACGGCTTTAATTGTAATGATTCGAGAATCCACTAGTTTTTCTCTAGAATCGGTAAAGAATCGCTGGTTCCGGTTCTTCTATAGAACGTAGTGACTCAGTTCTCTAAAACGTGGTTCCGGTGCTTCTCTAGAACGTAGTGACTCAGTTCTTTAGAACGTAGTGATTCATATAAATTATACTGTAGTGACTCGAGAATCCGCTGGTTCTTCTTTAGAACCGGGCAAATCAGGCGGTTTACTATAGAGAATTTTCGGGAATCCGCTGGTTTCTCTCTAGAACAGGGCGAGTGAATCGCTGGTTCTTCTCTAGAACATAGTGACTCGGGCGGATTCTATTGTAGTAACTCGGGTTCTATTGTAGTGACTCGGGAATCCGTTGGTTTTTCTCTAGAACCGGACGAATCGAGTGGTTTATTGTAATGACTCGAGAATCCGCT